GCTCAGCATTTATTCCGAGGACCCTCTGCCTCCAGCATCCATGCGTTTGTCTCTCTGCCCTGCAGGTGGGCTCATTCCACCTGAGATCTAAACAGTTCCGCGGTGAAGGCATGGTTACCCTGTTTTAGAGACGAGGACCCAGGGCCCCGAGCGGCCTGATGAGGAACCCTCGTGAGGTGGAGGCAGAGACAAGACCCAGTGTCCAGCCCCGGGGGGCGGTGGACTTTGTCCTGAGGGCAGTGTTATATCTCTGGGACCCTGGCCTGGTGCTGTGCTCCCAACAGAGAGGTGAGGTGGCCGCCAGCCCTGGGAGTTCTGTCTCCTCCTAATCCTGGGCATGGCAGTGACACGGACGGTGACGGCGGCACCTTGGGGAGCCTTGGCCAGCCTGTCCCAGGCCAGCCTGTGCCAGGGCTGATCAGCGGCTGCCAATGAGATTTCCCTGGCTGAGCCTCATGTCCTGCTCCTGGGAGCTGGAACACCAACCGCCTCCCCCACTCGGTCCCTGGACCCTCCGATGTCCCCGCGGAAGTGTGGTCCTGTGAGCAGGAGCCTGAGGCAGAGCATTTGCTGGGCCTCCTGCTCTATAAGCGGTTACCTGTCTCCACATGTCCTGGCTTCTGCGGGAGCCCTGGGAGATGGGGGAGAAGCTGAGGTTTGGAGAGGGCCTGCAACTCGTCCGAGGTCTCTGAGCTGCGTCTTCCTTGCTGACCCCTTCTCCCCACCTCCCCCACCACCACTCAGGTAGGCCTCACGCTGCCCATCCTCTCATCTGGCCCTGGGAGGGGGGGAGGCCAAGACGCTGATCCCTGAGGAGCAGCCCTGTGAGGTGAGCATGCACATCAGCCCATTGCAGACTCAAGCGCTAGGAAGTATTCATCCCACTTTATCGATAAAGACGGGCTCGTGCCCTGTGTCCCAGGTTAGCTGGGGGTGTAAGGGGGGCGTGTCAGGGCAGTTGCTCCCAGAGGGGACTCGAGGTCGGCAGATCAGGATCTGTCACTGCCACCCTGGGTCCTGAGCTGACCTGCCACCAGCGAACATGTCCCTTCCCCAGTCCTGGCCTCAGTTTCCCCTCTGAGAGGGGCTGAGAGTGGGCTGTGCAAGGGCTCCTCCTCCTTCCAGCTCCGAACGAAGTGCTAGGATTCTGAGTCTGCAGAGGGCACCCGGGGAAGAAGGGCAAAGACATCAGCCACTGAGTCTGGGGGAGGGTGTTGCTGAGGCTGGAGAGGGGGAGCCATTGGCCCAGAGTGACTCAGACGTTCTGTGTTCTCTGCGCTGAGACCCCACCTCGGCTCTGCCCCCCAGATCCGTTGGGTCTGGCTGACTCTTCTCCTCCTTCTCCATCCAAGGGTGTCCCCATAAGAAGGGACATCAGGTGGTGTGTGGTCCGCTAGACTGGGGCCCGCCCCCAGATCCCTCGATGGCACGCTGGCCCCCAACTTTGCCACCTTCCTTCTCTGGAAGGGGAGAGGCACCCTTAGAGAGGTGCTGGGGGGCACTCGGCGCCTGGCCCTGCTCTGGCCAGAGGCCACCCACTGCTGCCACGCGCGCGCGCGTGTGTGTATGTGTGTGTGTGTGTGTGTGTGTGTGTGTGTGGAGGGGGGTGTGGGGTGGGCACAGTGGGGATGGGGATGGAGGGGTCCCTGCAGGCCAGGTCGGCTGGGAGCTCTGCACTCCACCAGACACTGTGCTGGCCGGACTGCGCCATCAGCCAGCCCTGCCAGGCTTAGCGCCATCCAGGCCCTGGGCAGGGAAGGCCTCTGCTTCCAACAGCTGCCTCCTGCTGCTCCCCCTCCCCCAGCTGCTCACAGGCTGTATGTCAGTGGCTCAGCCAGGCCCAGTGCTCATCTGTCTCTGGGTCCCGGGGCGAGTGGGTGGGTGGGCAGCAGGTGCTGTGTGCTTGCCTTCACCCCCTCCCATCCATCACCTTGCTGTGCTGCTCTGCAGACCGTTGGTCCCTGTGTCTCAACGCACCCACTATTCTTTCGTCTCTCCTGCTTGGCTGTCGGCATGTTTTGCTTTGCAGTCCTTCCCTGTCCTGCCTCCTGTCTGCAGCTCCCTCACTTCCTCCTTCTCTCCCCGCCCCCAGGTGTGTGTGAGCCGCCCTCACGAGCGGGCCGGGGGAGGGCGTGATGCTCCAGGCCCTAGCCTCAGGCCCAAGGGAACCCCTCCGGCCAGCACCCTCTCCCTCACTTTGAGGGGGTGCGCAGCAGGCAGGGGGCCAAGTGCTGCCGTCAGCGGCTTCAGAGCCTTGCGGTCCTTTCCCGGCTGCGTCAGGCCTCCACGGGTGGTGGGCAGGCAGCCCAGGGACAAGGACAGGGACGTGGTAGCTGACGCACCGTACAGGGTGATGGGGAACCTTTTCCCCCTCCGTCTGAGTCTCGGGGGAGAGGAAGGGTGGGGGGAGCTGGACCCTGGCCCAGGCCGTCCTGGAGGCCAGGAGGAGTGGGAGAAAGGGCCACGGGCAGGGTCACCTTGAGAGCTCAGGTGGGCAGAGCTCAGAGTGGCTGGGGTGGGGGTTGGGAAGGGAAGAGATGGGATAGGACTAGCTCCCACCCAAGCCTGGGCCCCTTCTCCTCTTTCCTCTCCTCCCTCCCCCTCAGCCTTTTCATATCCCCCTCCCATTCCCCCCAGCATGGCCTGAGGTTGTCCCAAGGCTCCCGCAGCTCAGCTCTGCCTGGCAGCCCCTGCGCCTGGCTGAGGGGGCCCTGGTGTAAGCAATTCAGATCTGAGGATGGGGTGGGGGTAGGGGGTCTCTGTGGGGCTGAAGTTGCACATGTGCATGCATACATGCACATCACACATGTGCTTAACATGTCATCATGTAGGTAGGCGTTTGCCCGTGTTCCCCTGAGATGCCCCCCACGCCCATGTTCACCTCTGTAACTGGCCACGAGGCCGCAGAGCCTGTGCACACAGGCCAACGTGTGTGCTCATGCCTGCCGCGCATCCGTCTGCTTGTACGTGGCAGCACAGCCTGCACTGGCGCTCTGAGCAGCGCACACCTGCGCGTGCACCTGCATACAAATGCGGTCCCCGGCGTGCTCGCGGCAGGAGGTGCAGAGGGCGCTCTGGAAGGGCGACTTGGCGGCTCAGCCTCCTCCGGTGCAGTCTTGCTGCCTGTGTGTGTGTGTGTGTGTGGGGGGGGGGCGGCCTGGGGCCCCAGGAGGGTTGGGAGGGACTGGCTGGGGGGGTCCCCTCGGGGCCAGAGGCCACATTGGACAGGTGCTCAGGTCTCCGACTCCAGCCCCCCCAGACTGTTGCACAGTCAGGAACAGAAATGCTCTCTGCTGCCTGGGCACCCCCTCCTTCCAGGGGCCCCACCCCCACCCCGTCTGGCCCCTCAGCCCAAGCTGTCCTGCAGGGGACGAGGTGTGAGGCCACCTCCGGGAGGCCCTGACCATCCAGCCTCTGACTCCAAGTCAGCCTCTAATCTGAGGGGTCATCTGGACGCCCTGGCCACCTGCCACCTCCACAGAAACTGCCTGCCTGGCCTTCCTCGGGCACCCCCCCTCCCCGCCACCCTTCCCTCTGTCCCAGCAGCCCTCTGGGGCCAGGACTGTAAATTGGATTTGCTTTAAAGACAAAGGTTTAACATTTTTTTTTTCTCAAAGCGTTTCCCTTCCTGGAGTTTCCCAGGAGCGGCAGCAGGAAGCAAAGGTGGCTCCTGGGGACAGTCTCAGGCTTTCTTTATCCAAACATGGATTTCTCTGCCTAATCTTCACACCCCTGGCCACTGCCCAGGGCACAGGGAGAGAGCACCGGGCTCTTCCCGCAGCCAAGAGAGCCCTGGGTGGGGGCTGGAGCCCCGCCTGGCTGAGGGGCCGTGTCTGGGGCTCGGTTTCCCCACCTGGACAAGGAGGGTCTGTCGGCTCTGAGCCCTGCGCCGTCTCCCCTGTCTCCCCTGCCCATCTGCCTCTTGGGCACGGGCAGCCCGGCTCACCGTGCTTCCCCCATCAGGTGGCCGGCAGGGACCTGGTCCCCACTCCGTGGCTGTGGGAACAGGCTCAGGCAGTGCTTGAGCTCAGGGCTGGGCTCCAGGCCTCCTGATTTCTGCTGCCGCAGGAGCCTTGATCCTGGCCCAGGTGGTGCTGTGTGACTCATGGCAAGTCTCTGCCCCTCTCTGACGGGGCTTTGATCGCATTATTCTGGAGGCCTTTGGCTTTTTTGCCTGCCTGGGGGCTCCCCGCCAGCTCCCGCCCCCTTTCTTCGAGGAGGTGGGATTGGGGGCGGGCATGTGTCTGGCTTCACTCTCTCGCCCTCTCTTTCCCTCAGCTCTGCTCCTGTCGGTAAGATGAGCTTGTCCCGTGCCCTCCCTTGTGGGAGACCCCAGCCCCTGCTCCCCTGCTTGGGGGGCCCACAGCCACACTGCTCTGCTCCCCTCCCCCATGGAAGCCAAGACAAGGGAATTATTTTTGGAACAAGAGCAGTTACACAACAAATGCATTATTTATCTCTGGGCATGGAGGAGAGAAGGCATTTTGCTAGACTTCTTAATTCTTTAGCTGGGTTGGAGGGTGCCTGCCCGGGTATGTGGCCATGTATGTATGGCTCATTTGTCCTGCGCCAGACTAGGTGTGCGTGTGTGTGTGTGTGTGTGTGTGTGTGTGTGTGTGTGCGCCTGTCTGTGTGCATGCCGTGGAGTCTGGATCACGTGGGGGCACGTGGGTCTTTGTGTGGGCAGGTGGGTGAGCGTGGACATATGTGTGCTGGGCGTGTGTGAGTGCCTGTGAGTGTGTGTGCACCTGAACTGTTAACTTGTCAGACTCCCTCCTGTGCCCACTGTCCTCAGACTCTGCCCCTCCGCCCTCCTTCCAGGCCCCCAGCTCCCGCTTCCCTCTCTTGCCGCCCACCACACTCCCCCTTTTACATAATGGGCCCCAGGGTGCTGCTGGCAGAGAGGTCCTCCCGCCCCCCGGGAGGGGTGGAGAGGGACTGGGGGCTGCACTCGGAGCCCTCACACTGATCTGTCACCCCCTCTCGGTGCTGCCTTTCAGGAACCAGGTGGCAGAGGGGTGTCTTCCTCGCTGCCCCTGTCTCGCTGGCCCCCCCTCAGAGCGCCACTCTCCAGCCTTCCGTGGGGATCGTCTGAGCCCAGAGCCTGAGGAGAAAGGAGAGGAGGAGGAGAAGGCGGAGAGGAAGTCAAGCTCTGAGAGCCGTGCACGTTCCCAGCAGAAGAGCCACGTGGGAAGCAGGCTGTGGGGCCCGCAGCACCCCTGGCCCCGGCCTGGCCGCGGTGCCCAGCACCTGCTGGTAGCCCCCCAGAAGGTCCCCAGCAGTTGGTTCTGGCAGAGCCTCCCTCACCTGGGGCCCCTGGGCTGGGGGTCGCCCCCAAGATGGTGGCAGCCCCAGGGAGGACTGTGCTGCCAGCCCCAGCCTCCAGCCACTAGGCTCCCCGTGCCTCTCACCCCGAGCCCGGCCGGCGCCATGCTGCGCCTGGGGCTGTGCGCGGCGGCGCTGCTGTGCGTGTGCCGGCCCGGCGCCGTGCGCGCCGACTGCTGGCTCATCGAGGGCGACAAGGGGTACGTGTGGCTGGCCATCTGCAGCCAGAACCAGCCGCCCTACGAGACCATCCCGCAGCACATCAACAGCACGGTGCACGACCTGCGGCTCAACGAGAACAAGCTCAAGGCCGTGCTCTACTCCTCGCTCAACCGCTTCGGGAACCTCACCGACCTCAACCTCACCAAGAACGAGATCTCCTACATCGAGGACGGCGCCTTCCTGGGCCAGGCGAGCCTGCAGGTGCTGCAGCTGGGCTACAACAAGCTCAGCAACCTGACGGAGGGCATGCTGCGCGGCATGGGCCGCCTGCAGTTCCTCTTCGTGCAGCACAACCTCATCGAGGTGGTGACGCCCGCGGCCTTCTCCGAGTGCCCGAACCTCATCAGCATCGACCTGTCCTCCAACCGCCTCAGCCGCCTGGACGGCGCCACCTTCGCCAGCCTGGCCAGCCTCATGGTGTGCGAACTGGCCGGCAACCCCTTCAACTGCGAGTGCGACCTCTACGGCTTCCTCACCTGGCTCGTGGTCTTCAACAACGTCACCAAGAACTACGACCGCCTGCAGTGCGAGTCCCCGCGGGAGTTCGCCGGCTACCCGCTGCTGGTGCCCCGGCCCTACCACAGCCTCAACGCCATCACCGTGCTCCAGGCCAAGTGCCGCAACGGCTCGCTGCCCGCCCGGCCCGCCAGCCACCCCACGCCCTACTCCACCGACGCCCAGCGGGAGCCGGATGAGAACTCGGGCTTCAACCCCGACGACATCCTCTCGGTGGAGCCGCCGGCCTCGTCCACCACGGACGCGTCCGCCGGGCCGGCCATCAAGCTGCACCACGTCACCTTCACCTCGGCCACCCTGGTGGTCATCATCCCGCACCCCTACAGCAAGATGTACGTCCTGGTCCAGTACAACAACAGCTACATCTCCGACGTCATGACGCTCAAGAACAAGAAGGAGATCGTCACCCTTGACAAGCTGCGGGCGCACACCGAGTACACCTTCTGCGTGACCTCGCTGCGCAACAGCCGCCGCTTCAACCACACCTGCCTGGCCTTCACCACGCGGGACCCGGTCCCGGGGGACCTGGCGCCCAGCACCTCCACCACCACCCACTACATCATGACCATCCTGGGCTGCCTCTTCGGCATGGTCATCGTGCTGGGGGCCGTCTACTACTGCCTGCGCAAGCGGCGCATGCAGGAGGAGAAGCAGAAGTGCGGCAAGGTCAAGAAGACCATCCTGGAGATGCGCTACGGGGCCGACATGGAGGCCGGCTCCATCGTGCACGCCGCCCAGAAGCTGGGCGAGCCCCCAGTGCTGCCCGTGTCCCGCATGTCCTCCCTCCCGTCCATCATTGGGGAGAAGCTGCCCACTGCCAAGGGTCTGGAGGCCGGGCTGGACACGCCCAAGGTGGCCACCAAGGGCAACTACATGGAGGTGCGTACCGGCACCAGCACTAGCACCGGCACCGGCACTGGCACTGGCCCCGGCACTGGCACCGGCCCCGGCACCGGCACCGGCGGGGAGGGCCCAGCCCAGCCTGAGAGTAACCGCCCGGGTGCGGGGAACAGCCAGGGCTCAGCCACTGAGATCTCCACCATCGCCAAGGAGGTGGACAAGGTCAACCAGATCATCAATAACTGCATTGATGCCCTCAAGCTGGACGCGGCCTCCTTCATAGGGGGCGGCAGCAGTGGCGGGGACCCCGAGCTGGCCTTCGAGTGCCAGTCCCTTCCCGCGGCCACGCCAGCCTCCGCCGCAGCCTCCCCGGGGGCCCTGGGGGGCCTGGGGGCCCTGGAGCTTCCCAGCTTCCTCCCGCCCTCTTTCCAGGAGGGCTCCCACCACCCGCTGCAGCGGCAGCTGAGCGCCGACGCCGCCGTGGCCCGCAAGACCTGCAGCGTCTCCTCCAGCGGCTCGGTCAAGAGCGCCAAGGTCTTCAGCCTGGACGTGCCCGACCTCCCCTCCCCCGCGGGGCTGGCCAAGAGCGACTCCAAGTACATCGAGAAGAGCAGCCCCCTCAACAGCCCGCTGGACCGGCTCCCGCTGGTGCCCTCGGGCAGCAGCGGCAGCGGCGGCAGCGGCGGGGGCGCGGGCAGCGGGAGCGGCGGCGGGGGCAGCGTGCACCACCTGGAGGTGAAGCCGGCCTTCCACTGCAGCGAGCACCGGCACAGCTTCCCGGCCCTGTACTACGAGGAGGGCGCCGACAGCCTGAGCCAGCGTGTGTCCTTCCTCAAGCCGCTGGCCCGCTCCAAGCGGGACTCGGCCTACGCGCAGCTCTCCCCCAGACACTACTACTCGGGCTACTCGTCCAGCCCCGAGTACTCCTCCGAGAGCACGCACAAGATCTGGGAGCGCTTCCGGCCCTACAAGAAGCACCCCCGGGAGGAGGTGTACATGGCCGCGGGCCACGCCCTGCGCAAGAAGGTCCAGTTCGCCAAGGACGAGGACCTGCACGACATCCTCGACTACTGGAAGGGGGTCTCGGCCCAGCAGAAGCTGTGACCCTCTCCTCCCCGGTGAGGTCGGAGGGCAGGGCGGGGGCACGCGGGGAAGGGCCCGGGCAGCCGGGCGGGGGCGTGCCGGGGGCCGAGGCCGAGGAGTGGACGGACGCACACGCACACCCACATGCACGCACCCACGCACACACCTGACCACCACCTGACTGTGACAACCACCACCCGACAATAAGGGACAGGAAAACAAAGACACGTTCTCCTTAAAGTTTACACAGATCCCGAAACCAGGCGACTTTACTGTGCTGCCCAGGGACTCTGCTGGGGTGTGCGGGGCTGGGTGGGCGGGAGGGCCGGCGAGGAGGCCCAAGGAGGGCGGGACCTGGGGCTCTGGGCCTAGGGACAGGTTTGGGGGCAAAGGAGCCTGCAGCAGGGGGAGGTCCCCTGTTGGGGGACAGGAGATGTCGCACCAGGTGGACACTGGGCATTGTCTCCTTCCTTTATGGATGGGGAAACCGAGGCCCAGGGAAAGGTGATGACCCAGGGTCACGGGACAGGTTAGAGTCAGTCAGAGTCGGAAGCCCAGTGCTATCCCCGACCTCCAGTGGGTCCCCTGGGGCTCCCATCCTCCATCCACCCACCACCCCTTTCCAGCTGTGGTCTCCTGGGGCTGGGGACTTGAGAATGAGTGGGTGCCTTTTCTTTCTAGAAAGCCCCATGGCCATGCCCTCAGAGCCTGTGGCTGGGATTCGTCATGCGGGGGGCCCTTCGTCGCCCCCGTCAGCACCCAGGAAAAGAGCAGAGGCACGGGGTCGTCCCACCAGCCCCTTCACGTGTCTTCCAAGTAGCCTGGGAGCTCCCTCCGGGGTCTGGGCCGCGTGGGGGGCCAGCTCCCACCGCCTCGCAGATGCAGGCCTCACTCCCGAGCCCCAGCTCCCTGGGTCCCCAGGACCCCTGCTCATCCCAGGGGGGCAGCCGCGAACTGTGATGCCTGGGAGCCGTGGGGAGGCAGGTGCCCCTCCATCCCGACCTCCGACCTGTCTGACCCCCATTGTGGGATCCTGGGGCAGCACCTCAGCCTGCCTGGAGGAAGGAGGCTTTCCCACCCCGCCTCTCCCGGCTGCCCCTCCCCCAGGCCCGAGGGGCCCCCATATTTCCATCGACACATGGAAACGGCCTCTCCTCCTTAGCTGACCCCCACCCAACATCTAACAAAGCACAAACAGTGAGCACCCTCCTTGCTGGGGGGGAGCAGGCTGGGTTTGTGGGGCCCCTCCCTGTCCCTGGTTGCCTCTGTCACCATGGCAACCCAGAGCCTGGCAGTTGGGACCGTTGGGCTCCTGGGGGTTCTCCCAAGTGAGGGCAGCGAGGCAGGGCAGGGCCAGAGGGCAGCTGCCTTGCTCATGAGCTAGGGGCTGCTTGGGGCGAGCTCTGGGACAGGTCTGGGGTCCCGGACACTGTCCGGGGGTTGAGGGGTCATCAGCTGTCCCTTGGCCTTTGGTCGGTGAGCGAGGACAAGTCTAGCTTGGCCCACCTGCCATCGTGCCCCGGCTCTGCACACACCTCAGGGCAGGGCGCAGCTGCTCAGCCCTCCTCACACCCGGCCTCTGGCTTGTCACCCCGTTGGCTTTCTTGATATTTGGGAAGTGTGACTGGGGGGAGGGCGGGCGCTGGGGTGGGCCGAGACCTGTACTGTGTGGAGGGCTCTGACCAGCAAAGCCAGTGCCCCCCTGGGTGGGGGCTCTGAGACCTCCCTGCCAGGGGGCCAGTGGGGGGCCACGGGAGATTGGGGCTCCACTGAGGGCCTCTCTCACACCCACTTGGGGGACGGACTAAGCCCGGGCTCACGTTGGGGTGACAGTTACAAAGAAAGGACTGTTCTGGGAGTGGACGGGAGGGGCCAGCATGAATATGCAGAGAAGACCTCCCCCACCTCCCCACACCTGCTCCCAACCCCTCCTCACACCGATTGGCAAAACTGAGGACAGCAAGCAGGCGGCGGAGCCAGCGGTGTGAGAAAGCAGATTCCCTGTTATATTTGCATGATGATTTTCCTGTATTTTTCTGAGCAAACATCTGTCGTGTATGTGCCGGTTTGTCCAGACTCCCCTGCCCCCTCCCCGCCGCCCCCCTCTCCCCACATACCCTCTATTGTGATCTGACAAGCAGCTCTTGACACCCGGGGAGGACCAGCTCTGCAAAAGACCCAAACCAGGTGCCACCCAAACACCGCCCTGGCCCACGCCCGCATCCCGTCTTTCCGAACTTGGGGCTCACAAGTGCCACCTCCCCTCCTCCCTCCGTCCGTCTCTCATGTCCAGGGTCCCTTCCTGTCTGTCCTCCCTGCCAGAGAGGGGCAGCCCCGGGGAAGGGAGCGTGGGGAGACCTCTCCCCTGTCCCACTTGCTCCCATTTTGTAGATGGAGCAGTCAGGACCCCCAAAGACGGAGGGACCAGGTGGGGTGCGGGGTCCGTGGCCCCGCTGAGGACAGGCGGCCAAGAGCGAGGGGCTTCGTGGACGGCTTTATGGGGAGGTTTGGGGCCCTGAGGGAAAACCCCTGGGAGGAACCGGAGATCTGGGGCCAGAAGGAGCTGCCCCCCGGGAGGGTGTGGCATCAGGAGGGGGCCTCTCTTTGCCGCGCCCCGTCATCCCTGGTTGGGGATGATATAGGAAACCTCAGGGCACTTCAGGGAGCTGTCAGGACAGGTTTCTATCTTAACAGCGAGGGTCTTGCCACCCCGGGAGGTGAACCGACCTTCACTGCAAAGCCACAGCGATCTTTGGGGCAGAATAGTTTATAAAACGCCGGCCTCTGGAGTTCCCTGCCAGCCTGATCCCTCAGCAGATGGGCCAGGCCCTGGCTGGAGGGCAGGGGCCATGCCCTCCCTGCAGCGCCCCCTGGAGGCTCTCCTGCCTCCGTGTCCTGCTCAGGGTGACTCCTCCCCGGTGGGGAGCAGAAAGACAGATGAGCGTCTATGTCACCGAGGCCGGCTGGCCAGGGCCCCGCCTGTAACAGTGAACGGGGACCCGGGCCATGGCCTGGGCAGGGGGCCCTGGTGGAGTTGGGGGACCAGCTGGCTGGAGGAGATGTGGGTGCTGCACCCCGGACCTCCTGGCTGCGGCCTCCCTGCTTTGGGTCTTGCCTGGGTGCCTGTTCCTGAGAGGTGGCACCGATGGGTCCACTCTCCCCTGAAGGGTACAGCAGGCCCCCCAGCCCTCTGTGGGAGCCAGAGGCTTTCCAGAAGTGAGCCCCTCTCTGCGGCCTCTGCTCCCTCCTAGGGGACAGTGCAGGACGATGAGGCTGCCCGGGTCCAGGCTGGGAGAGGGCCCTGCGGTGGACGGTGGTGGGAAGAGGAGAGCTGAAGGGCCCCAGAGGGGCAGAGGGGAGTCTAGGCCTGGCCGAGCGTCTCTGATGTTCTCAACTGGAAGTCCTTCCCCGTCCCCCCTCCTGGAAATTTAAGAGGGAGAGACAAGCACAGGGAAGGGAAGGAAGGCAGGAAATTTTCTAGGGTCTTGTAAGGACAGACGGAGGCCAGGAAGGGGGCCAGGCATGGGGGACAGCAGTGGCAGGTCCCAAGCTTAGACGGGGTTTACCTGCAGTGAAGGGACAGCCACAGCATGCTCCCCAGTGGCGCACACTGTGCAGAGGACTAAACGGGGGTGAGGAAGGAAGGAGGGGCTGGGGTGCCCCTCGGAGGAAGAGATCACTGGCAGCCAGAGGACTCGCCTGCTGGCCGCCCGCATGAGAGTGAGGCTGGAGGGAGCGGGGCTGGGAGTGGCCGATGTCTGGAAGTGCCTCCCCCGTCACCCCCACATTCTGCCCCTGCCCTCCGAGGGAACCTGCCACTCAGCAGCATCGCACCCCATTCTTGGAAAAGTGGGGCCCTCTTTCCGGGGTGGGGGATGGGTGGGCAGGGCCTGGGGAAGCCCTGGGGTGTCTGATAGCTGGAGTGTGGGGCTCCCCTGATTCCTGTGCTGTGCTGTCCTCTCCGCGGAGACTTCTGCTCAGTCCCAGAAGCTGTTGCGCTTCCCTTCATCCGGCCCTGGAGCCCCACCTTTAAGACAGAACCAGTACGCATACTCCGCACACTCCGCACACTCCGTGCCCCTCAAGCCGCCCAGCGTCCCCGTCAGAGGCCGCTCCGGCTGCTGAGCAGTGGGGAGAGAAAAAGGGGGTGGATGGGGAGGCCCTGGGCTCCTTCCTTCCCCTGCCCCTGGCCGACCAAGCATAGTGAATGGCCAGGGGCGAGGGGTCCATTTTCCCCCTCTTCGTCCCCCCACCCCCACCCCCACAAGGAGCCCCAGCCTCCTGGCCCTGGGGCTTGGCACCTGATTTGGGTCCGGCAGAGCTGGGCGGGGCCTGGGCCCAGAACCTGTGAACCCTGGCTGTGTGGGACCGTTCCTCCCCGGGGGGCCTGAACCCTCCCCTTTTCTTCTTTAGGGGGTAAGTTCATTTATTTTCTCTTCCCGCCGTCTGCCTCTCCCTCTTCACAAATTCCTGTTTTAAACCGAATGGCACGAAATTGTTTTCCTCAACTCGAAGATTCCTGTATGGAGAGAATCAATTTCTATATTTGCAATAAATTTCTTATTTAAAACAACGGGGCCAAGGTCTGTGTTGAATGTCAGTCCCCCCCCCCCCCTAGGCCCCTCCCAGGTCCCCAAGTTGGAGTCCCGGTGCCTCCAGTTTCTGGTGCCTCCTGCCCCATTTCCCTTTCTCACCACAGACGCCCAGGCAGGGGCAAGGGGAGAGGCACACTGAGTGCCTGGTCACCACCCACGGTCAAGGGGGAAAGAGGCGCGCCTGCCCCACAGAGTGGGGTCTACCGAGAACGTAGAGGCTGGGGCCTGACTGCTCCTCCTGGAAACCTGGATGCCCCTCTGCCAGCTGCCCTCACTCCCCTTCCTGGTGCCCGGCCTCGTTGGCACTGTCTTCAGACCTTAGGGATGGAGGGGCATTTGGGCACCACTGTCTCCGCCAATTCCCAGGGGATTAAGCTCCTGCCCCCGGAGGGTTGGGATGAAGTGGGACCTGGTGGGTCTCTCTGGCTGTTGCCAGGCCAGCTCCCAGGCCGCCTGCTCTTTCCACGGTGGCTCCCCGGGCCTGCTGCCCTGTTCTCCACAGCTATGAAGCCCGGATCTGGTCTCCAGGGGCAAACGATGCCCCTTGGGGCTCCTCAGGCCTTTGCTCAGTGCAGCCCAGAGCCCACCCCCAAGCCCTGCCTCCTCGTCTCCCCAATAGGCAGAGCCCCTCCCCATCCATTTCTTGGACCCCTGACTCCAGCGGCCACAAGGCCCTCGTCAGGGACGCCCCTGCCTTCAGCTTGG